CTGCTAGCTACAGCGGAACCTCTTCATACACTGTACACTGTACTGGAAGTCTGTACCTATATAATAATTTATAGAAAGTAAACTGTGTAACACTGCCTGTAGCTAGTTACAGTAGAAACTATTTACCAGCACATCAGATACAGAATGATTACAATGGCATTGTGAATTTAATTGATTACATTTTGTTAGAGTATAGACTATGTTTTGAGTTATTGCAATCGCACAATTATTACACAAATGCGTTTTTTACACAATTAAAATATCAGATTAAGAAAAAGGAAATGGATAGTAAAATTTAGTGAAGAAGTCAAATGTCATTGAGATTTTTGTTTTGTATTTCGTGTCCATTTTACTCAACACATTGCATGATTCTTCTCTCTTTTTTGTTGATCTGCTTGCTTTTCCTTTGTGGGTGTAAGTATACACATTTACCTTCACATTAATTGACACTGTGAGTTTCCTCGCCCTGAAAAGCTTGCCTGCTTCGCTGTGTTGCCTCCCTGTCTGCTCCACAGCCATCCAACAGTGACCCCAGAGATTTAGCCAAATAGGAATTCTCATAAACTAAGGTTATAAGCAGGGACGCACGTAGCTGGTACGCAAGTACGCAACTGTCGTATAAAGCGATATGCGTGGCAATTTTTTGCCGTAACAGTGCAAATGCTTTATGTGTATTTGCATTGTTATGTGCATTTTAACCTTCATGCAATTGCAGTATGTATTAGCCATATCGCTATATATAACACATGCATACTTGTGCACCAGTCACGTGCATTTCTGGTTATATGACATATCAATGAAACATCACAAGCATAGACACATAGGGTGAGGGGGCAGGATCTCTGAAGGCTCCTTCTGACTGGTATGTTGGTATGATCCCCTCCTTTGTCAGGGAGTATGAAGTATTAGTGTATCATACAGGAATGTAAAGGGGTGCACTGATTTAAGACAGTGTGCTAAATATCAGTTTGCTCATTTATACAAAGTGATATCTTTGGAGTACAATGGAGTTAAGGGCCTCGCTCAGGGGCCCAGCGGTGACATCACTCTGCTGACCCTGGGATTTGACCCAGCAACCTTCCAATCACAGGTACAGAGTCCTCACCTGCTGAGCCACACACCAGCTCCAAAGCAGTTGGGCCTTTTGGGGATCGAACTCACACCCCTTGCATTATTAGCACCACAAGGTAACTAGCCAAGCTGAGGGGGCCGTATTGTAATATTGTACTTTAGCAGGGGAAGGAACACGTGACAGACAGTCTTTCTGGATTCCCTGCCTGAACTGTGAAGAATCATAAAACAGAGTCAGCATCAGAATTCATGTTAAAGTTTTTCTCGATTGCTTTGGCACATTCCATGAAACATACTTAACATTCTAAAGACTGTAAGAGCATTTCTCAAAACAGTTTATGCATGTAGCACAACACTGTGGTTTAGCTGCAAAAGCCAGTAACTTACCAGGAGCAATTAATTCATACCTCAAAGGTAAATAATTCCACCAAAGAGTTAATCTGCCACCAAAATGAAAAATACAATCAGCATGAGAGTCAAAATGCTTGGATATATTGTCAGTATGTCAGTGTAAGTATGTAACTGAGCTCCATAATTCTGAATGATTGTCGGTTCCCACTTTCTCATTGTCACTGACTGATCATATTTCATTAGCCAATTGATACTTATTCATGTCCAAGACACCAGCTTCAACATATGTAACGTCTTCCAATCTCCAAACACAGTATGACACCAAAAAGGCACATTGCACTGCATAACACAACACAGCAAAATAGCAATGCAAGTACAACAAAATCATGTACTGTGGGAACCAAAAACACAACAATGCTCTGTCACTACAGTTTATGGAATATATATTTAAATCACGTCGAAAGCTTAGTTACAGTTTTTCTCGATTGCTTTGGCGCATTTTGTAAAACATACTTAGCATTCTCACGACTATAAGAGCATTTCTCAAAACACTTTATGCATGTAGCACAACACTGGTTTAGCTGCGAAAGACCGAAATTTCCCCAAAATAATTCACTCATGTCTCGAAAGCAAATAATTCCACCAATGAATAAGTCAGTGCCACCAAAATGAAAAGTACAATCAGCATTGTTTTAACCATTAGAATCAAAATACTTAGATGTATGTCAGTGTAAGTATGTACCTGAGCTCCATAATTCAGAATGATCATTGGTTCCCACTTTCTCATTGTCACTAACTGATCATTTTTCTTTTTAGCAAACTAATACTTATTTATGTCAAAGACACCAGTTTCAACACTGCAAGGCTGTACATCACAGCATGGAAAGTTCACTGGAAAGAGAAAACACTTGCAGGCAGATGTAATTTGTTCAGATCTCAAGACAGTACAACCGCAAATAAAAAGTCACACAGCACTTTATAACATAAAAACAGCAAACTGGTGATACAAGTACGGCATCATGTACTGTGAGGAGCAAAAACACAACAATGTGGCGCCACTGCAATTTATGGTATATATTTTTAAATCATTTTGAAAGCTTGGTTAACTGATTTGCATGTGGTGGCTAACATGACGATCACTTGCAGATTAGTTTTTGAGTGTAAAATGATTACAATGAGAAACTACATAATCTATTTTTAGCAACAAGACTAAAGCAACTGAAAATTGTGCCAAATGATGACAATTACACAAAACCATTTGCTTATAGGTACTGAAACATTTGGGAATTTGTGTGACGCAATGAGAACTGATGTTGTGCTGTGCGGAAGTTACACTATGGTGTGGGGATTACACTTGTTTTGCAAATGTTAATTGTCATTTGAGAAGTTGTTCCAAAGCAATCGAGAAACTGTCATGCCAAGGTACACCTGTATAGGAATGTGCCTCGCTGGTGTTGGTGTGCTCATTCAAACATGGCACAGAACATAAATAATTTTTTAAAAGAATAAAAAAAGAAGTTTTAAGATATAAGCAATACTACAGGGGTGCGTTTCCCGACAACGATGACTTAGTCTAAAGATATATTTTATGAAAGGTATTTATTTTCCTACGTCTGTTTCCTGAACAGTCTCTTAAGAGCTTGCTTAAGGGAGAACTTCTTAAGTGGGACCTTAATAGGCGCCGGAATACGTGACTGGTTGACATCGATGGCTCGAGAATCGATTTTTCCCTCCATGCAACAACTGCTTGACGGTGTATGAGACACAGTGGTGTTCTTTATAGATGTGACACTGCAGGAATCCTTCAGAATATTGCATTAATCAGAACTGGGCAGAAGCTAAACATAAACATAACACATAAAATTAACAAATTGAATCATCTAATCATGAATATGATATTTGCCGACTGGGTACACTAACCCAGATTGTAGTACCACACCATTTTATTTTAATTTGTTCTATAAAACACCTGCATGCACTAATATGTGTGCATGTCATTGTTATAGGGACGAGCAAAGGCCTAATGGCTGAAAGAAAAGTTGCATTACTGTCTCAACATAAGAGAATGTCCAATATGCTTCATTTTTTATTACTGAGGACTATTCCAGGGTGCTTTTTGGGGGAAAGTATATCAGACAAAAATGTAAATGAACCTGCAGCGTTTACTCTTATCAACCTCATGAATTAAAGTATTGTACTGTGACATTGGCACATTTAGAGAGGTGTGTTAATGGAAGGGCGTCGGAAATAAGGGGAACTCCTCCACTGCAATATCGGCAGAACCCCCCCCCTTCCCAATTAATAAATAAATATATAATCAACACCACGTTCCTTATCTTTCATTATGAATCCACTCATTAGGGAGGCCAGTTTGCTGCGCGTTCAGAGCGCAAGGACAGAACCTAACAAAGATTGTAGTCATGTATCAGACAAAATCATTTTACCATATGGATCAGTTAACTAAAAAATACGTGATGTGTGGATGTGAAACTGTACCCTTGACAATGTTAATCTTCTTTTAAATGAGCAGTATGACACAACACCAGTGATGAGAGACAGCTAAGAGAGGCTCAGACTAACCTTACGAAAGAATATCTTATGGAAGATATACTTCACTAAGAATATTTTGGGAAACACTTTGCAGCATTAAGAGACAAATTAAGGTAGAACTTACAAACGGCGTAGCATTAAGAAGGTTTCGGGAAGTGCACCCCAGGTCAGTACAGATTTCAGTCAGTAAATTGGTATCTCCGAAAATATGCAGTGTGTACAAGTGTTCAGCTAGATATACAAGTTTAAATTTTTCTTACAATCAGATTTCCAAGCTCTAGTGTTTCTTACCTATAGGTTATGCCTTGCTTTACTCGCAGTGTTTTCATATGAAACAGAAAGCACAATGCAAAGGGGAAAGAAGTCTCTGGGTCACTATAGGATGAGCTCACCTGCTAAGGGAAACTCCCTTGGTTTGAGCTGATAACAGCAAATCCCTCTAAGAACTCTGAAGAGAATTTTAAGGAGCGTTTAGGGTCTTCTGTCCACCTCCCATTTCGCTGATTCAAACTGTGCAATTTGTTCAATGAATGTCGTGACTGAGGCGAATTAGTGAAGAGCTTAGCTTGGATACACATTTGGAGGTCTGAGACCGACCTCTGCTCTATGAATTCACCTTCAAGTGCAGGAGAATCCTGACCCATCGCAAATGATTTATAGCTGAACTCTTAGTAGAGAGATGCTGATTTTATCAAGCCCACGGCCATCTCGACCTATTAAGGAATACATATGTCTTTTCCAGCTTCCTAAACCTTACTTCCAGATTAGAGTAGATTAGTTGTGCCTAGAGATTTAGCAGGCAGAAAACTTTTAGCTTTACATTTGCTCATGGAAATTCTTCAGAATTCCTCATGAGCTGCAGTTTCGGAGTGGAGTTGAGGTGCATTTGACGTCACTGTGTAGCGTGTCCCTGCCACCCCCGCTGCTGGTAGCCGTACTCCCTCCCTCCCTCTCATCCTAACTGCTATGAGGAGCTATTGAACTTCCCATTTCTCCCTAACCGTGGATTCATTTCCCCCCCCTTTCAGGAGAAGGAAAGCGGGCATCCTGCCCAGTCTCGAGGACCTGCTTTTTTACACCATTGCTGAAGGCCAGGAGAAAATTCCGGCACACAAATTCGTCTCGGTGAGTGGAGGGCAGGGCTGTCGCTGCTGTTATCGCCACTGCCGTTGGCAAGGCCAGCCTTTTCAGTGCAGCCGAGAATGAACGATTTCCCTTCAGCTGCCGAGTGGGATGCATGGGTGCTGACCGTGGATGTGTCGCCGGGGGGGGGATGGCTTTGCTGGCTGCAGCTCAGGTGTAAGAAGGGTGGGGTGATTGCTGAGTGTCCGTCAGATGGCTCTGTGGACACGCACCGAATCTAAGTGCATTTTATCTTACATGTGGACAGTCTGTGTTTACTCCTGTTTCCTAATCTTGTTGACCTACAATCTCCGGAACACCATAAACTGACAGCATTGCATAATCATGCCTGTGAATCACAGAGGTTTTTATTACCTTTTATGAATCACTTCCAGGCACTCATGCTTTACTGGACAGGAGCATAGAGCCCTGAGTCCAGAAGTGTGTTTGCTCACACAGGAGTCAAATCATAGTGTCCAGAGACTGCTGAGGAAAAACTTAACGGGCTTAGTTTCTTAGGAGCGAGATGGGGAGCCCAGTTTCTGCCCCGTGACTCCTTGTGCGTCTTCATTTGTTCCCAGGCGCTGAAGGCCACAGGCCTGCGGACGGGGGACCCCAGGCTGAAAGAATGCATGGACATGCTGAAGGTGACCCTCAAGTCCACCTCAGACGGAGTCAGCCTGGACCGACACCTCTTCAAGAAGTAAGCAGAGGCCCCCTAATGAAGGAGTCAGCTTTCCTCCTTGCAGCTCTAGTCGTAGAAGCATCCAGAATCCCCAGGGATTTCAGCTAAATCACGAAATCACATCATGATGTACTCACAATTTCATGTTCGATAAACATGTCGGACTTTAAACCACCACACCGCCAATGTCTTTTTACCTCGTTTATCCACAAGATCTCCTCTTTTAAGAGATATTGTGGCTGCTGAGCTGTTCCTTTCTTCACCTCCATGATACACCAAAACAGCAGCACATGGCGTGCTCTGCTTAACTGAATTTAATAAATATAAGGATACACTGAATTTACAAATTACTAACTTTTGGGCATTACAATATTTATCTCTGTAATATTTTTTGGTGTGCAACTAATTGACTTACCGAATTGTGGGCATAACTAGATCTCTGTATAGTACGGAAAAGCCAGCGTCCAGACAGATGTTTCAGCCCTGGTGATTATCGCGCATACGCCATATAATCATGTTTACATCGCGATATGATGTCACTCAGCCTTATTTACTGTACTTTAGGCTGTTTTGGCATTTGAGATGTTTGTGTCCCAGGAAAACGACTCATTTGGTTTTAGTAAAATTGGTTTTGAAAGGGTTATTCCTTTTATTCTACTCCATAGGGTAACTTTTACCCTACAAAATTGGCACGAGAACTTTTATTGCATGTTTCCTTGACGCCGCATGTTTCCGGCACCAGCTACTGGCCCGGCTGCTTGCCAGTGATGTCAGCTTTGTGGAAACGTGGCTGCTGGGTCCTGTGCTCCCTGCAGTCCCGCGCAGAGGCCTGACTGCTCTCTCTGGAGCCCGCAGCCTGCGGGTGTGACCTACAGAAGACTCTCTCAGGAGTCCCGCAGTCATGGGACTCCCTTGCAGGCTGCCATAACCAAAGGCTGCCTTGCTGTTTATTTATAGGAAGTCTTGGTGGGGGCAGGATTCCGGCCCCCCTCCCCCTCTGGGGGGCACCATGGCGCCATCATAATGTGTCGTTATTTTAAAAAGCTTTCTACATACTGTCGATCAAAAAAAAACATCAACAGAGAATTAAGTTATTTATATTTATAGGTATTTACAGAGATTGCCGATTTTACCGGAGAGGAATGTCCGAACGGATGGTCCTGGTAAGAGGGCAGCGGGCCCCAGCCCATGGGAAGCAAGCATCTGGACCTGCCACCTCGGGCAGGGTTCTGGTCTGCGTGCGTGCGTGCGTGTGTGTGTGTGTGTGTGTGCGTGCGTGCGTGCGTGCGTGCCAGTTTCATCACTACACATTTTTTTCCACATTTTTGGATTAATCCCCTGTGGGACATTGTCCACATATTTTCCCTGGCATTTCCAGATTTTCCGGACTTGTTCACATGGAGATTATCTAAACAGATTTTTGAAGAGGATATTTCTGAAATTCCGATCCGACATACTGTTTTTTTGGTTATACATTTTTATTGTTTTATAATTTATTTATGCAGATTAGCATTATTTTAATCAAGTACATTAAATATGATATACCAGATAAAGAGATACTTAATTCCTCTTTCACACAATGAAAACATGCTTACAGTTCAGCAAGTCCAATTAGATGCTGAGCTATGAACTATAAAAGCAGAACAAACATGTTTGCTGAAGGTTCGAGGGCATGGGAAAGGCATTCGTCAGTGCCCCGACACCGGGGGGAAGGAGCCCAGGCCAGGGGCATGCGGGGGGGGGGGCAGCGTCACGCTTTATGATTGGCCATACAGCCAGTATGAGTTAATTTGCCGGGTGCTCGCTGGCTTCTGATTTTCTGTTCTCACTTATCTTCTGTGTTTTATCTCAGTCAGACAGACACAGGGTCTTTGGGAAGCAGAGGGGCTCATTATCAGCTGCTTCTCAGTGTCTGGGTGGCTCACAGGTCTGCGCTTCGTCCCACAGGTGCGTGCAGAGCAACATCGTCCTCCTGACCCAGGCCTTCCGCAAGAAGTTTGTCATCCCCGACTTCCAGCCCTTCTCCTCTCATGTCGACAAGCTCTACGAAAGTGCCAAGCAGCTCTCGGGCGGTCAGGTGGGTGCAGGGGTGGGGCTCGGGGAGGTCAGGTGGGTGCAGGGGTGGGGCTCGGGGAGGTCAGGTGGGTGCAGAGACAGGGTTCCCAGGCCATCTCCTATAAGTCAGCTTCCTCTGGTCCTGACTCTGGTCAGAGGATTGAAAGCTTTATTGTCATGTGCACTAAGTACAATGAAAACATGAAAAGTTCACAGCAGTAAAATAAAATAAAAGCAATAAATAAAAATGCAGTAAATAAATACAACAAATGATTTGCCCTTGCCGTGTGTCTCACAGGTGGCTGATTATATCCCCCAGCTGGCCAAGTTCAGCCCTGACCTGTGGGCTGTGTCTCTGTGCACAGTGGACGGGCAAAGGTAAGCGAGGAGTCTCTGCTGGTTGGTTCTTTAAGGGGCTCTTAAGAATACCTATTTACTGTCCTTACCAAATACATGAGTGAAGGTCTACGGGGTGAAACAGACATGGCCTTAGCTAACAACACTTAGCTAACTTGGCCATCACAGTGTGTTGTAGGAACCTGACAATCTGTAAGAACCTAAAATTGACTAAGCACTTACAGTATGTAAACCTCTCTGGCTAAGGGCATCTGCCAAATGCAGTAAATGTAATGTAAATGTCTAATATTTGGTCATATTTCTGCAAGGGATTAGATGAGTAAAAAACCGGGAAAACATCCTGTCAGGCTATTTACTCCATTAATGTAAAATAATATAATGTCAGTTTGCCTTTAAAAGTGGCTGTAGTCATACTCACCTAGTATGGAATGAACCTTGTAAAGAAATGCTTTGTAGTTTCACTGTTTTTTTTTTCCTCCCCCAAATATATTTATTTGCATTTGTTTTAAATACAGAACAACACAGTCAAAATAAATAAATAAAAAATAAAATAATAATTTTTAATAAAAAAAAAAAACACATCTCAACTACTTTTGGTATACCAGCGTTCACAGCCATCCATTTAACAATTGGACTTTAACCTTTTCAGAGTATTTAGTTATTATAAAGGAAATTACATTATGTAATGGAGATACCAAGTACAAAGAGAAGAATGTTGAATATCAGTCATCTCCTGCTGTCAAGTCCTCTTGGTTACAATAACATAAAAATGGAGTCCAAATATTGTAAAAGTCTTTAAGTTTCCCTTTAACTGCATAAGTCAGCTTTTCCATGGCGAGGTTGTTAGTCATTTCTTTAAACCAGAGCATAGAGGACGGCCCTTGTACTGTATCTCCTTCCATTTTAAAGCAATAGCCCGTTTGGCCTGAAGCAGACTAAAGTCAAGTTTCACTGTTTTTATGTGATGCTGTATTGCTTGGAAGTTTCTGGACCTTCAGTCCTTCGCTGCCCTGCACTGGTCACCCAGAGTGCTGTGAAGCAGTAATCCCTTTCAGAAATGGCATAGTGTTGTTCAAAATAATAATTAACTGAGCCTGTAATCCTGCTATGAGGTGAATATGTGTCCAGGGTCTTTGTAGTAGAACATTGTGTAAATGTTTCTGAATTGTTAAATTAGTAATCTTTTTATCACTGTTAGAAGATAGTTATAAGTTTCACCCTCTGCTGGCCAGTGCTTGTCATTCCACCCGGTGACCCCTGACCCCTGTCACCCCTTTACCAGGCACACGGTGGGCGACACCAAGGTCCCCTTCTGCCTGCAGTCATGCGTGAAGCCGCTGAAGTATGCCATCGCCGTGCACGACCACGGCACCGAATATGTGCACCGCTTCATCGGCAAGGAGCCCAGTGGCCTGCGCTTCAACAAGCTCTTCCTGAACGAGGACGGTGAGGGTGGCGGCTCCGGGCCCAAAGCTGGCCACACCTTAGTCCGTGTCAGGTCCCTGCCGGCACCAAGGGGCTGCTCTTATCTCCTTGGGGCTCATTAGCTGTTTGTGTTTTTACCAGATATTGTGTCCTACTGCATGCAGAGTCTTGTTTACAGCTATTTATTTGGGGCAAAAGTATATATTAGCTCAGAAGAAAACACATTTTAACATTAGAACGTACGGTATGGTGCTTCACAGTAACCAGTTAAAAACTAACAAGAATTTGTTCAGTTGTCCAAAAAGTCAGTGATATCTAGTTGGATGGCTAGATGAACAGCGCTTCAGTTCCCAAACCTCTCCTCAGGGACACCTCAGCCATTCCATGTATTTGTTAAATTTCTTCACTAGCTCACTTAAATAATGATCGTAATAAGTGAAATAACTCAATGGGGTATTGATTAGCCAAACAAGGAGGGGCAGTGGTCAAGTCAAGAAATACATGGATGTATTGATGCAAATACCACGGTGACATTAGGGGAGGTGAAAGAAAGCAAGAAAGACAGACAGACAGACAGATTTTCTTGATCCCGAAGAACATTTAGGCATCTAGTAGCTTACACCTATTGAAGACCACAATGCAAAATATTAATAGGAAGAAGAATAAAGAACAACAAGACTGACAAACTGGCAATAGTAACAATACTTAGGGATAATAATTATAATGAAAGGTAAGGTACTAAGAATACTAATCACTACAGAGTAACTATCTAGTGGTACATTATTTCCCAGTGAATACAGTGGTAGTGCAAGTGCTTGGTAATGTGTAAGGAAGATACTGTAAATTACAGCATACTGTGCATATAAGTGTTATAATACAATAATTCTAAAAATACTATAAATACAAGAAATACTATAGCACTACAAATTGCAGCTAAATATACATTTGGAAGTACTAAATAAAGATGTCTGGAGCTGATATAACATTGAATACCGAGAAGTTAATTGAATTTAATCACTGGGAAGAGTTGAATAGTCTTATGACCTGGGGGACAGTGTCAGTCGAGAAGGGCTGACACACTTTGACAGACATGAAATCATAGTTTTACACCAACCGGAAGATCATTTAAGTTTTTCTTTTGTTTCGTCCCGGGCTATGGGTTTAAAGAAATGACTAACAACCTCGCCATGGAAAAGCTGACTTATGCAGTTAAAGGGAAACTTAAAGACTTTTACAATATTTGGACTCCATTTTTATGTTATTGTAACCAAGAGGACTTGACAGCAGCGATGAGAACAGGGGACGGGGGCAGGGGGAGGGAGGATAAGGGTGCAGAGGACAAAAAAATGGATTGACACAACAGAATGGATGTATTTAGAAAATATGGGGACAGAGGACATGACACCAGGGTGAACTTCGGGAGTGACACAGGCCAAAACAATAAACAAAACCCAGTGAACTACCGACATGCATACCAACGAAAACGTCCCTAACCCAAAAGAAAAACGAAACAAGAGACAATCACTAACCTAACCCTTTCTAACCACAAAACAGACAAAACGTCATACACGCTGAAAACAAACGGCAGTCACTCCCTACAACCCTTATACATATACAATACATAAGCGAAGCATAGACAATGAGCACGAGCAAAGAGCTATCAGAGGGGGAGGGGGGTGATGAGGCGTTATTTATAGCCCATGAGTGGAGAGGCGGGAAACGGAAACGAGGCAAGGAAAACCAGTTCATCCAGTTTTGGCACTGCGTTCTTTGAGAGAAATGGAAAACGTGGAACCGGATCAGCAGACTTGCGGAACGGGATCTGAAATGGAAGATGAATACATGCATATACACACACGGACATAACACTTTGTGTAAGACTTCTGCATAGTAGTGTATATAAAGGTATATCAGCGTTTAGCATATTGTAAAGATTATTGACGCTTCTGAAAGCGCCTGAAACCTGAGTGACTTTAGTCCGCAGAATTCACTGCGTTGAGTTTCCACTGTGATAATAGGGTTTGGTCTCCTGGATGAGATCAGCAGCTGTGCTTCTGTTAGCGCGACACCGTGTCAGGACAGCGTCCCGAACGCTCAGCCCTTGACTGAGATGGACCCAAACGGCCCGGCGCCTTGGTCCAGCCACCTTTCAGGGCTCTGGCACGTATGTTGGAGCTCGTATCGTGTGACATGACGGAGGTACCAGTTGCCGTCACTCACACGTTTTTGTGTAAAAGTCACGTTCGGCTGTCAGCCATGCCTGACAGGCGCTTTGAAACGTGAGCCCGCGGGTGATACCCGAACCGGGCACCTCGCGGCCAGGTGGCACCAGTGGAGTCGCTGCTCCAGCTGGACCAGCAGCCCATCTAACGCCGCTGTAGCAATATGTGGCCATTTAAGCTGGAGGAATGTGCTGGTGCATTCTGGGTAAATGCCTGCATGGAAAAAAATGTCAGATAAGCATCGAATTGGAGCTGATTGGGTGGGAACATGTGGCTGCTCCCTTTCCTGTTTCTCTGGCCCTCATCTTCAAACAGTGGGGAAATGAGTCTTTGCTTGTAATTATAATTATATTGTTTAGATTCAGTGGAGTGGCCTTTGTTGCCGGTGGCAACACACGGCTTCACCTGCAGCTCGTTCACATTTCTGTCGGCTCATCAGATGAGGTTGGCTTCTGCTGTCGATTTCATGGGTGCGGGTTCCGTGCTTGAGAGTTGGGTCTTTGCGTAACACCCCAAACACAGCGTGTTCCCCAGTAGGGACATTCTGAACATGAAAATGGAGGCAACAGCTTAATTTTACCGTTTTTAAACCGACGAACGCAGCTTAACCGCTTTGATGGGTTAGCAGCATAGTAGCTATAATCGTTTATAGTGTTACTTCTTTTGCTCTGTTAACAAAAACAAGTGTGAAATGGAGGTGAGGCAGAGCTGATGCAGAGTACTGAATATGTTTTAACGTGTTTTAATGCCTGCTTTTGTTTCCTCAGATAAACCCCACAATCCCATGGTCAATGCTGGTGCCATTGTGTGCACCTCTCTTATAAAGGTAAATACCGTTTTGATTTTAGTGCCTTTTCAGATGATACCTCTGTGCCTCGGCGGTCTATGTGACGTAGGATGCGGGGACAGTGACCTGGGATGTCGCTGAAGGTCACACTTGTCCAGGTTGTTCTGTACGTTCAAGGCTTCTAGTCCCCTCGGCCCCTTCTGTCACCTGCAGCTCGTGCAGTTGGCGGTTAGTAATAACAGAGGTGTTAGACGATCTGAAGGGAATTCACTATTTGCACGCCATGCCCACAGACATGCGGCCGGCTGACAGCCAGAGAGGTGCCTGGCGCGACTCCGTCTATTAGGGCCATTAAACCCCCCAGCCGTGTCGCCCAGGCCTGATTTACCCTCTGAAAGGGAGAGATTCCTGGTGTTTAAATGGAGATTAACTGGGACCCATCATTGGCTGTAGATAATGGGCCCTGCTTTTCCACATAGCCTCCCGTGTGCTGTGACGCGAGTTTTTCCGTTCATGGTTCAGGGCGCCCGTTTTCTCATTGACCGGCCCACTGAGAGACCCGTGCCTGTCTCATTATGGGGGACCGCGTGCATTTCAAGCCAAATGTGTCCCCTGCTTTCACTGTTTGTGCTTTATTCTTTGAGAAAGGCCGTTTGAGACTCGCCTCCGATGCGCGTTGTGGGGGCCTCACTGAGGACTAAACACTGCACGCTCATGTATGTCTCGTGACCTGGGCTTCACACGGTAAAACTCCAGTAGAGGTGGTTCATCACCATCCACCTGTAAGTGAACGTAACTTTCCCCATTGAGAGTGTACCCATGATAGGCTGGGGCATGTTAAAGCAAATAGCTTTACAGTTACACATGTCCTGTGTTTACCCCCTTTCATAAATCTTGATGACTTTGAAGAGGCCCACGGAACCTTCTGTGTCACCATAGAAACCGAGCTGGCGTGTAAGTCACGGTTCGTGGTTGCGTGACCACAGCATACGGGCCTGGTTATTGCTGCTAGTTTTGTGCTGATCACCGAGGAGCATGTCAGGATTCTGTTAGGAGGGTGTAAGCCACACTGAAGGCATTCTCGCAGAATTCACAGGTAACAGGAAAGAGGGTATTACATTCACACACACAAGACTGGTAAATAATTTCATATGGTCCTTATTCAGTGGTCAGGCAATACACAAACCATGCATTTTACTTAACCTGTCCTCAAGTAATACCTCGTTATAAAAGCTTAAGATTCAGGTTCCATGATGTAAGACTTCAAGTAGTTCAGGTACTTTGGTGTTGATGCATCAGATTTCAAAGTCTTAAACTTTCTTTTATTACAATGGGTTTGCCTGATGCAATTAAAGGGTAGAACGAACTTGGCAACCTGATTGTTCTGTATGTGTATGCAGAGTGTATATCGATGCATCTAGAGCCCCCGAATTGCCTAGTACAGGGAGCGGGTGATGCTGTACAGTTGCCCCCTGCTGCCCTCACTTCTGAATGCAATTTGAAGTCTCCCGCCCGTCCCGATGGCTTGCATCCTGGGAGATACCACCCCTCCTACCCCCCCCCCCCCCCAAAAACCCCCCCCCCCCCCCCCCCCCCCCAATAAACCGCTCCCTGTACATCAGGCACTTCTTGTGGACTGATCTCTCTCTTACCGATCGTAGCCGTTCCGTTGTCACAGAAAGGTGCTGTGTTATTATCCTGTCAGGGATCGGAATCAGTGATCAATACTCTCCCATTGGTCAAATTTGATTATTGGGTGACAACACCATTCTGATTTATATCTGTTTGTAAGACCTAGCTATTCGCATTAGCATGCCTTAATATGGTATGTATTCATTCCAGAGGTATCAACCAATCAAAAGCACGTGGCTGTGAATGACCCTTTGTCACATGACAAGCTTTTTGACCAGTCGAAACCACGCGGCTGTGAATGATCCTTTGTCACATGACAAGCTTTTTGACAAATCAAAACCACATGGCTGTGAATGACCCTTTGTCACATAACAAGCTTTTTGGTCATTTTTCTTGACAGGGTGATTTTGCAGTGTCTTTCTGTCCCCAAACCTGCGTTACCTTTTCATATAACACTGACAATTGAAACACTGTCATGTCTTAACCAGCATTCACTATATAATGACATATAGCCTGTCTGTTTGATTCCCTCTCTCGAATGCCCCTCCCTCCCCCCAATGAAATGTATCATGTAGAGTAGTGTAGAGCTGTCTGTAATGGGGGGGTCACTTTGGGTGATACCATGGGGAAGCAAAGCATGATGTCTTTCCCATTTCGCTGTTACTGGGACTGGGAGAGCAATATGGAACTGTGTGATGTTTCTGAAGGCCTTTTTGTGGTTTATATGTTGTTACATATTTTACAGCATTAGGATCTATGGGATATTTTGACTACCGCAACAGTTCAATGACGTTGGTAATTTTTTCTTTCAATTATTTTTTTCCCATCGAACAGACTTGGGTTCAAACTAATCTATAGCCTCATTTTGATATACTGTTAATATTCCTATTTGTCAGATGTTTTCTGTTTGCCATTAGGATACAGTAAACTGTAGAGTAGTAACCTGTTTGGATACTAAACCTGGTTTTACACAAAATGAAGCCGTAATACACGTATTGTTTAATTTTGAATTTTTCATACTTAAATTTTTGTTTAAAACATTGATATATGCAGTTTGTGCAGCTATGTACACAGTGTAAGACATACATGCATCAATTTATTGCATGTCACGTGGAACAAGCATTTCCCCAGGAAGGGGTTCCTGGGTGATGGACACCGCAACACATGTATGGGTTCCTTGGCCTCCTGCTGGGGTCTCATCTTCACACGCCAGCTTTCAGTGTTCATCTTCATGCCTGGCAGCAGCTGACCTGCTGACCACCTGGACCAGAATATCATTTAAGTCTGCACACTCTAGGACACACGCATACCAAGTTCAAGAAGCTGCAAGCAAGTCCTAAAATGCAAAAATAACTCTAGAACACGCAGAGTTCTAGAACACTCCCCTTTTAGACTCCCTCTAAAAAATGCTAAATTCATTGTAGAACACATACTTACAGCAAACACACAAGCTCTAGAACACGGTGCATCAGAATAAACATCAAGGCACAAGCTGTAGTACACATGCATGCTGGAGGCACACTGCATCGCACACTGCGTCGCACACTGCATCACACACTGCATCACAAACTAGAAAAAAGACCCTATAGTACACATATAGGTGACTGACTTCACTTCTTCAGTTTGATCTTCAGTACATTATTCAAAAAAATATTAACATGAGAGGCTTAAGAGAGCTTTTATCATCTGTCATTGTGCTAAAAACATAGTATAATAATATAAACATTTTAAGAAAATGCCATTTACTTATCTCTTTACTGATGTTTTCATAAGACTGGATTTTCTGCATTTTACTAAAAAACTCTGGAAATTAAATTCAGAGTTATCTCCATTATTCTACTTGTACATTTAACCCCACTTACCTGAGCCTGTGTTCCATACCCAGAGACCGCATTAAAAATCACAGTATTGTAAAGTATTTTTGATAGCTGAGAACATGTTAATTCTTTTATTCTTCAATATACTCATTTTTGTGTTTCTTGTTTTATTTTTTAATTAAATGTATTCTTTATAATGTATGAATTCCTTCAGTAGTGATACTGGTACCGTAATTGTGTACAGTTTTGAGAGACATCACATCATAATATACTCTTCAGTGCTTCTCTGCCCCTCACAGCTGTCTGTCATACTTATTAATCTTGTTTGTCTTTTAGCAAGGAGCAAGTAATGCTGAGAAGTTTGACTATGTGAGTATGTGCCTCGTTTCTGCACCTTCCTAACGGACCCCGGACTCGGCCGATTGTACCTTAAGTCCTCACACGACGTTGTCTTGCAGGTCATGAACTTCCTACAAAAAATGGCAGGGAATGAGTATGTGGGATTCAGCAACGCCACGTGAGTATCGGAGCAACTCGCAGCCCATTGCGGGCTGTTGTCACTGGGTGTCCCCTCTGCCATGTGATTTCTGTGTTTGTTTTTGCCGGATGAGAGAATTGGCAATATTGACTCATGGTTTAGAATTCTAGCCTTCATGGTAATGGTATTAATGATTTAACAATGTGGGGAATAAGAAGGGCACCACAGGAAATGTGTGGGTGCTGCTGACATGGTGCCCTCTGTGACCCAGATTCCAGTCCGAGCGTGAATCAGGAGACAGGAATTTTGCTATTGGCTACTACCTGAAGGAAAAGAAGGTCAGTGCTGCTGTATTGTGGTGTGTGTGTGTGTGTGTGTGTGTGTGTGTGTGTTGGGATAGTCGTCACTGAATTACGGTGCCATCACTTTGCGATCCTTAAAGGCTGCTGTCTGGCATGCTTCTGTAGAATGTCTTGCAATAAAACTCCAGAGTGTCTGACGTGGTGGGGGCTTCAGTCTTCTGGCGGGGGGGGGGGGATTTTGATTCTTCAGGGCTGAGATGTTCCTCCAGTCTGGCAGAACCTGAAAAGGACATGATGCAGCAGTTTGAGTGACCTTGTTTTCCCCTGTTTTTCTGCACAGTGTTTCCCTGAGGGGACGGACATGACCTCTATTCTGGACTTCTACTTCCAAGTGAGTGACAGCCCCTGCCAGACAGTCCCCCCCCCCTCCTCCAATGGCATACACTGGGTGGGGGGGTTCTGGAAAAAACACTGTAGGTTTTGCAATAGTGGCATCTCCATGGTTACTGTCATTGTGCTGATTTTAAACCCTGAGCAGCCATGATTCAGTAATATTGTTATTAATTATTGTTATTCTTATTAGTTACTTTACTTAGTAGTAGTAATGGTCTGCAGTAGTGTAAAGTGGGTATGCAAGTCTGCTTTCTGTTGCGCTCGTCTTTACTGTTATTTTTAAGCTATGTGTGATTGTGCCTATGTTCTCTAACCATGCCCACAGCTGTGCTCCATCGAGGTGACCTGCGAGAGCGCCAGCGTCTTGGCCGCCACTCTGGCCAATGGTGGCTTCTGCCCCATCACAGGCGAGCGCGTGCTCAGCCCCGAGGCCGTGCGCGACACGCTCAGCCTCATGCACTCCTGTGGCATGTACGACTTCTCGGGCCAGTTCGCCTTCCATGTAAGTCCCGCCCCTACTTTGCCACGCCCCTGCATCTTCAGCTCATTAAGTGAGCTAGGAAAATTGGGTGTTTCCCCACCTCTGCCCTGCCCCCAGTACAGTCGCACGCCCCCATGCCACATTCCCCCCTCATTACACAGTCGCACGCCCCCATGCCACATTCC